CTCCCGCAATGAAGCACATAGATTGTATTAGCTTTAACTCTCTAATAGGTCAATTAAATCTTCAGTCTCTAGTTGGTCATCAGAACTGCTGGCACTGTCAGATACAGGAGCTATGCTACGATATGGTCGCAGAGAGTCTGCTGAAACAAGCCCCGTAAAGTTTTTGTAACCTCTTAATCCCTTAATGCTCCTGATCCTGTATCTGTCATTGCCAAGCACTTTAGTTATTATATAGGGGCCTGAATACAAGTCGTCCAACTTTGTGTTGACCCTAGCAGCACTACTAGTGGGTGCCTGTCTCCATAATACTAATTCTCCTTTCTTATATACATGACATTTTTTGCGACGTTTATCAAAGTTACGTTTCATCCTATCGCTAGCTTTATTGATACGTGTACTGGCCTTGCTACGTTTCGCTTGAGTGGATTCACATACTTGGTCTGGGATGGATACATCACACACTGGCCTACCACTACGCGCAAACATTAAATCATAAGGCTTAAACCCGGTAGTATCATTTATAGTATTATTTATCCCCCAAATTACATCTGGTAGACGGTTTGACCAGCTATTAGCGGTTTCACTAGGGTCAGATGCACGGAGAGCATTCAATATTGTGCGATTGGTGCGCTCAACTTGCCCGTTGGCACGAGGGCACGCAATTGCATTTAACGTATGTTTAAACTGCTTATCACTTGCAAATTTCTTAAAATACCTACTAGTAAATGCCTTGCCATGGTCAGTTACTACTCTATCCGGATAGCCAAATAATGCGAATATTCTTTTAAGTATTCTAATTGTTTCAACTGAATTAACTGATCGACTGCACTCTGCAATAACAAATTTTGAAAAAGCGTCAGTTATAACTAACATATATTCATAACCTTTCTTTGTCCTACAAAACGGGCCTAAATGGTCGACATGAATCATTCTAAACGGTTCATTTGGTTTAGGAATCGGATGCAACATGCCTTCCTTCCTACCATGATCTCCCTTTCCATATGCACAACTTAAACAAGCGGTTACATATTTACGAATGAATCTTGTCATTTTAGCGAACCAAAAATTATTTTTAATTAAATCCGTGCATCGTTTTAGTCCTACATGTCCTATTTCGTCATGATGCATTTGAAGTATTTTCCACCTAGCTGCCCCAGGCACTACAAGTCGATTTCCATCGAGCGTCTTTCTATATAATCTGTCATCTATTAACACATAATTGTTTATTATATCCCGTTCAGCTGATCCGGCTTTTAATTTGTCAATAATATTTTTTAATTTGTCATCTTGATATTGAACTGTATAAAACCAATCAGTAACTTCCAAACGATTAATATTTACAGCATCGATTGGATTCCTACTTAACGCATCGACATGTTTCATTCGTTCACCCGGTCTATATTCTACGCTAATGTCGTATTCCTGAATTAAAAGCCACCATCGCGCAATACGCGGTATAATGTCGCGTTTAGTGAGGGTAGCTCGGACGGCAGTACAGTCGGTAACTACTTTTACGTGTTTACCTACTACGTACATCCGAAATTTACGCAACGATTCTACGACCGCTAATGTTTCGAGCTCGTAGCTATGATACATAGTTTCCTCCCTAGACGTCACTCGGCTAAAATACATAACAGGACGCAAAGTGTTGTCGGACTGCTTTTGTAATAAAATTCCTGCTATTCCTAATTTGCATGCATCTGTATGAATTTCTATATCCAAAGTAGGGTCATACAAAGCTAACACTGGTTTAGAACATAAACATGTTTTCAGTTTGTTAAAGCTATCGGTCTGTCTATCACTCCATACCCACGATACATTTTTCTTAGTTAATTCCGTTAGAGGACGAGCTATAACCGCGAATTTATATATAAATTTTCGGAAGTAACTACACAGGCCTATAAATTGACGTACCTCATGTACATTACTTGGTACAGGAAACCGCGAAACTGCAATTAATTTTAGTTCTGCCGGTTGCACACCTTCATGGGAAATTTCATGTCCTAAGTAAGTCACTTTCTGTTGTAAAAAAGAGCACTTTTTCATATTTAGTTTTAAATTTTCTGATTCAAACTTTTGCAACACCAATTTTAACATTTTTATACCAGAACCAAAATCAGGTGAGGGTAGTAATAAATCATCTAAAAATGCAAGAATTTCACCATTAGAACTGTCAGTTTGCGACGTCTGGGAACGAATGGAATCAACTATTTTACTAATCATTCGCATAAAAACTGAGGGTGCATTGGCTAAACCAAACGGAACGCGCATATACTCATAATGACCCTGAGGTGTTATAAATGCAGTTTTGTGAGTGTCTTCAGGTGCAATTCGTAATTGGTGATAACCTTGGGCCATATCGAGACTTGTGAAGTACTTCATACCAGCCAACTTTGAAACTTGATCGTCAATGTTTGGTAACGGATACCTATCTTTTATAGTGATTGAGTTCAGAGCACGATAATCAATACATAACCGACTATCACCGTTCTTTTTCTTCACTAAGATAACAGGAGAGGCATAATCTGACTCAGATTCTTTAATAATGCCGGCGTCTAGTAAATCACGAACTTTTGAATTTACTATTTGTTGTTCAGTGTGCGATAACCTATAAGGTTGACGACAAATTGGTTGCGAAGTGGTAAGCTTTATTTTCATGCTTAACAAATTAGTGCAACCGAGATCTTTTGTGTCATTTGCAAAGGTGTTTTTATATTGTAATAATAAATGTATTAAACTATCACGCTCGTCTTTATTTAAGCTCCCCATATTGATTTCAGATATAGATACTCCGCCTATAGTATCATTAGTGATTTTATTAGTTGTTAAAATCGTAGCAGACGGGACTGTAAGGCCATACGAATTGGAAAAACTAGTGGCTAAACCGGTTGGCTTATTTGGCAAAATGCTTGGCAAGCAAGATAACATTGACTTGGCTGAACTCACCTGGCTTGGCTGAATCGCAGATTGGTCGCAGCTAACTGCTCGTGCGAGGACCTGGCCGGCTTCCCACTCGATGTCTTTAGTGCCGGTGTTGATAACCTTCATGAAGCCCTCTCCGCCTCGAAGTAACGTAGCTGGTAGCGAATAGGAAACTCCATGCAGTTCATAGTGGCGTGGCGCTGTGCAGACATCATCTTCCTCGGTATTGCCCAGCACTCGGACTTTGATGAGGGAGGTACCGGGCGGCAAGGATTCTTTGTTTGATGTCACGACGTTAAATTTCTGAATATCTTCGACTACTTGAAGTTCAGCAAAAGGGTCAGGGTCCAATCTTAACGAAGCAGTCCTATTGGTCACCACCAATGACACATGATCAGCGTTGATAACTGGCTGACCAACTAATAATTGAATGTCCTGCATGTCGGCTTCTGTTATATGAGCAGAACATCTAAAATGAATGTCATCAATTTCTAGGTCAAATTCTACTTCTCCGCGGCTCGTAAGTAAACCACCAGAAAAGCCTTTTAAGATAGTGCTCTTAGGTATAACCTTGAGTGCCAAAATATCAGCAATATCTGCATTTATAACATTTACCTGACTTCCAGTGTCAATGTAAGATTTCAAAAAAATCCCGTTTACCTTCACGACCTTCTTGTAAATGTCATTATAATCTTGCACTAGCTTAACTTCCTTGATGTTGCTGTTCGATCCGGCAGACGACTTAAGCTGTGTAATTGAAGAGCCAGGGCAGCGGGTAGCAATATGACCCTGTACACCACACTTGAAACAAATGCGTTGGTCAGGCAATGAGCAATTTCGTAAAATGTGGCCAGTCTTCTTACAACGCGGACAGGGGTCAGTCTCAAGGTTCACTTTCTTATCTGGGTTCGGCAGCTGTCTAGCATCCTTGTTCGGCTTGTCACGTGCTTCAATTATCGGTGGGCGATAATCATCAAGGGCACAGAGGAAGGCTTCATATAGTTCATCCGGTCGCTGGCATTGGAAGGCCCTTGCATTTGGTTGTAAGGTAGACGGTAACCCTCTGATTATACACGAAACGCTAGCAGTATCAGATAGGTTACAACGAAAACACATGGCAATTTTATCCTGGTAATATTTTGTCATGGTTTCGTTCGGCATCTTCTTCCTGTTCATCATTTCTTCTAACAAAGCACTGAAGTCACGGTGTTTGGGAAATGCTCTTACTAACATACACTTCCATTCCTCCCAGGAGTAGTTATAATCATCGAGTCTATTGTACCACTTACGCGCTTGACCACGTAGTTTATCTTGAAGGTGAAAAGATTTTACTTTGTCGCTCCAGCCGTGTATGTCTCCCAACTGATCAATTTTCTTCAACCATACCGATACTGTGCAATCTTCTCCTTCAGGGTCGAATTCTGGGATAAGGGATGCCGCACGATGGCCTTTAAATTGGTTGAGCGGCAAGGTTTCGTCATTGAGTTCTTGTATCGCCCTACCCACTTCGTTTTCTAGCATACTTTTAAGAAGTTTTCTAGCTGGTGGCGGTGGGAATTCTTCGTCTTCACTGATGTGGCCTTGCTCTTCTTCACTCCAGCCAGGCGGACGGACACCACAGCCAACAGATGCAGTAAGGCGATTACGCTTCATATCCCACTTCTGAGTGAAACGCAGATGAAATAATAAACTTATACACCTTACGAATAATCACAGCTATTTATTAAAGAAATATATTTTTTACACAATCGGGTAGAGTTTCGACCTATCTCGTATACAACGGCCAAATGTGTCACAAAATGAGCGGTTCGACTATTTATACCCTGCGGCCGTTGGGATGTGACGTCACTAACTGGCTTGACTAACAATCTCGGCATTGGCGTGGCATTGGCTTGGCTTGGCTTAGCTTGGCGTGGCTGGACACGTGGCGTGGCGTTACAAAAGATAAAAAAGGTAATTTACAATGTTTTAGAGTACCTAACAAGGGAAAAAAACAGACTATAAGTATCCCCTGTTTCCATTTCTGGAAGTAAATGTGATTAAAATGTTATTTAACCTATTTGTATTATTCGTTTCAGATTTTTCAACGCGAAATCAGTGAAGATAATTGAGGAGAGCATCGTAGATCCAGAGAAGAAAATATTTGTGACCTACACAAGGAACCTAGGATATACAAAAGTTATGGTAAGTTTGTTTTCATTGTATTAAAAAACTAGCTAAATGTTGTTTTGCCATATTAATTAAGTGAGTGCTGTAGCTGTGCTGCGTGCTATAACCTAGAGAACTCAGGAAAATTATAGCTATCTATCAGTGAAAGAATTTTGGAAAACAAGATAACCACCTTCATACAAACTTTAAAAATTTCACAACATCAGCCTATAAGTCACAGAAAACCGGCGTGAAATAACCACAGCGTTGTGTTTCGCCGTGTGAGTGCCAATCCTTCCCCTCCCCCAATCCCTCCTAAATCCCTAAATCTGCAAATCCCTAATCCCTAAAAGGTCGGCAACGCACTTGTAACTCATGGACACCTCCGTTGCGGGTGTCCATGGGCGGCGTTGATTGCTTACCATCAGGTAATCCGTCTGCTCGTTTGCCGACCTATTATTTAATAGGTCGGCAAACGAGCAGACGGTACAAACGGACGGACAAATAATAAAAATAAGGTGCTCACTGCTAAACAAAGGCCTCTTCTCACACTGAGAAGGTTTGAGCATTAATCACCAAGCTTGCTCAAGGTGGATTAGTGATATCAAACTCATAATTTGTAATTATAAAACCACGTTTGCTCACGATGTTTTCCTTCACCGTTTGTCAGCGGTACTAAATAATCTTCGAAAGTACATTGGTACTTGCCAGGTTTCAAAAGGCCTCATGCATGAGAAGCCTTAGCCTCTGGGTCACCACGACAAAATAATAAAATTTACCTATTTATAACATTAATATTGATTATTTGATTTATGCCCCATAAATATAACCTAATTTCCTTTGCTATTTATGTGCACAGAGTGTGGTGGAACGCGTGGAGTACCGCTCGGCAGGCCCGGGCCAGACTGTGGCGCGTCGCTCTGCCTGGATCGACTCGCAAGTGTTTGGTTTCTCGCGAGCCATCCGCGCGTTCGGAGTCGACAGGTTCAAGAAGAATTGTAACCAAATGGTATGTACCACTTGAATAAGTAGGATATTAATAACAAACTTCTGAAGGTCTTTCTTACATTAGAAAGCGCCGTTAGCTTTTTGCTCGAATATTTAAAGCATCATTACAATTTATTAAGTGGGCGAGAGCCATGCTTCGGTACGAATGGGTCGGTCACAGAAAACCAACCTGAACAACCAAAGCGTTGTGTTTCGCGTTTTGTGAGGTTACCGAATCCTTCCCTCCCAATTTTCGAATCCCTAATCCCCAAAAGACCATGGGCAGCGCCAATGGTTTACCATCAGGCAATCGTTTGCTGGCCTATCACATAAAAATAAACAATTACAAAAATTAACGATTCTCTTCCCGACTCTACAGGTAAGCGGGTTCAACCACGTCCTGCACAGCATGTTCCCGCGACAAGTTCCGTCGCAGCACAGTATGACGCACACGCTGAAGGAGATGCGCGAGGCCGCCGCCGCCGCCACCGACCGCGCCAAGGCCAACGTACTGTCCAGCGTCAACCGGACATAACCCGACGCCGACTGACCTAGGAGCTAAGGACATTGTGACTGAGATCGTCAGACCACTCGTACACAACCTAACCTAAGCCTAAACTAGTGAAAAAATGGAGTGACCAGATTGTGTTTCTATATTGGTCAATACGAAGCTAGCATCCCGGTTTGGCGACAGTGAACCAAATAAAAAGTGTTTGTAGCAAATTATTGTTAGTGAACACTCCATTTTTTAATCGTCCGTGGCAAAGTGTCGCCTTATGGGGAAGTACAACAGAAGATTACGCAAGTGAAGAACTGCTTTTAGAGGTTTATAGTATTCAGAGATATAGAAATTGTGTTTTATTGTGAAGAGGTCTATCGAGAGTATCTAGCACTATGGCTTATTGACAATAAGACTTTTAATGGGCTCTCTTTTCACTGGTGTTTGTATTTTGTAATCTCTGGCTTTAGAAGTACGTAGAACGAAAGTACTCTAAGTAATCGTCCGTAGTTACTGGCCAGTGTAAATTGAGCTCATTACCTTGTTTCCAATAGTAAACCTGTATTCCTTTTATTTTCACTGCCATTTTCGTCTTTTGCACACGACGCTACTTGTACCTTCGCCACATTCCAGCCGTGTGGTCTAATATGTATATTATGTATGAATATGCTTTGCATAGAGAGAATGGAGAACCGAAAACACTAGAACGAATCAACGATCATTTTAGTACCTACACACAAATACATAAGTGTTAAATGTAAAGTAGAAGTATGACGTCACTACAATGCAAAATGGCGGAGTGACATTTCAGAATGAAGTATTGAATTAGTTGTCATCATCCCTATCATATGCTGCGATGATTTGATATTCCCCTGTTATGGGATGTGATTTTAGATAAGTTGGTAGACAGCTTTTCTCTCTACGCCATAAGTTTTGGTTGAATTTATTTGGATTGTATAATGTTAGCGATATTGGGAGTTTGCTCTATTGAAGTTTTTATAACGGTTGGCCATTTCTATGACTTGAGATAAAATTATTATTATTTATTTCAAAAATCATGCATACTATTGTGCAAAATTCACATCATGGTGACGAATAATCTAAGTTCTCGATACGGTATCGAGACAGCGATAAAATAAAGGCGTGGTCACATATTTATTTTACCTATTTTGTCTAACCTATATTTGTGAAATTATGTTATCATTGATTTATGTACAAACACTGGCAATATACTGTACTCTGTTAACATTTATGTAATTGGAACTTTGTTCCTTTGTAATATAGTAGCTATTTGTCTGATTAGTTGAGGTGAGTTTTATTGCCGGTGGTTGCGAGTAAATCTATGTGGTTTCGGGTGATTTTTTCGAAGAATAAATTAAATCGAAGTGGTTCCTTTGTTACTGATGTTTGACGGTAATGTACGGAGCTAGATTTCCAGATATTGAATGGCTTGTTGTACGCAGCTCCAATTCGCTAACCATAAAATAAATGGTTTGTAAACTATATTTATTAATGTATTTTATTTAAATTCAAAATTAATTTAAATTTTCCCCTTCGCTTCTGCTTTCTAAATATTAAGCCGAACTTTTCTCTATCAAGAAATAAATAATTGTAAATAAAACCTTTTTTGTAACATACTTATTGTAACAATATTAATGTCTAAAAATCCATCATTAATGAATACGTAATTGTTTCAAATGAGTTATTTACTTTATCTACAAAGGAAAAAAGTTTAAAATATAATAAAAATAAGTATTTTTTAATATTCTCTTTAAAAACAATTTAAATAAAAATTTATTATATTAAAAATCTTGAATGAGAACCTCGGTTTTGAGATATATGAAAATCAAAAAAGAATAAGTAATAATCAATGTTTAAAATATGTGAGAAGAATATTTTTATTATATTCAATATTATTTGGTCTAGTCTCTTTCGGAAAACATAGTCTATGTGCTACCTATTGCATTTAGGTGTATAGCAAATTAATTTTACTATGTCTATTAAGGTAACGCCACTTTACATTAACATAACATTCACAAAAAACAGAAAAATGTTTTTTATTTTAATTTAAAATAACAGGAGAGAGTACTCCATGTCTTCCTTGTAAAAAAAATGTTGTCTATAGATTTTATTTTTCATAAAAGTGGTTCAATGTGTAGTAGTAAAGTTTATTGGCAAAACAATGTAAAGTGGCCTTTAATAATTGTTAAAAGTTAACTTGATAGATATAAAAGTAACTTGGACATAGGTACTAAACACATGTTATCGTTTGGAAGTTCATTCGAGCAGATCCATAGTATAAAATTAGTATTAGTTACATTAATCAGGTTTAAGAAGATAATAAATGAGTCTATTTCATTTTTGTGTTTTATTTTTACTTTATGAGATTATAAACGTATTGTCTCGTGCTACCGTAAGTACAGGTCTGCGGATGGCGAGAAAGGGTAGCTCTCCGCCCGAACAGAAACACACGAGCGTACGGCGCGAACGGCGGCGTAACCATGGATTTCTTGCTTGTTCTTCTCCATACGAATCTACACTTTGGAACTAGCAAATAGCTTCACTAGAGGACAGGCGGACACATTAAGTTAAACCTTCTTTGTTAAAATGTCTTTTTTGCTTGAGGTTCAAAAGTGCCTATTGTGGTCTACTTGAAATAAAGAATTGATTTGATTCAACAGACCACCACCAATTGGCTGATTTACAGCAGAGACAAAAGAAATGGGATGGTTTTTAGTCAGTAAGAGTCTGATACTCCCTCCCGCCATACCTATGGTGAGAGAAGTCAATGGATGATGAAAAAATGTTGCCACATAATGGATTTTTTTTATTTGTTGAATGTGTGCCAAAGAGTGAGACGAAGGAACTATGCCAGATTGGTAATCCTACTGACATATAACTAATATTATCATTCAGCAATAGTTACCTATTAACAACAAAATACACTTCTTACCACAGATTGCCATCAATTCGATTGCAAATTGACGAGTGGGCTGGACGACTGCCCGCCGTGTAACGATTGACTGCACGGTTAGCGTGGTGGCTGGGCAACTGAAAGCCGCGCAACGTGTCGCAGGTTTGATTCTCGCACGGAACAACTCTTTGTGTGATCCACAGATTGTTGTCCCAGGTCTGGGTGAGATTTGTATGTTGTTGTTGTTTTTTTTTTTTGTTTTTCGTTTATTAAACAACAACATTGATACAATCATATGAAATTGTATGTTAGTAAACGCACCAACGAGACAGGAGAAAATAATGTGGGGCAACTTTTTTTAAGGGCCACTGCGCAGTTGCCTTCGGCCCCTCGTGCGCTTCCCAAATGACGGCCCTGTTATCTTATGATTGTTTACAACCGTGTTCACAACACACATTATAATTATTATTAATCAATATAGTTACGTTATTTACTTAGAATATCAATACTTCTTGGAATTCTTATTATTAAATCAAAACTTTTTTTTGGAATCCTTTGGTATCACGAGTGTGCCATGCTTGCCATCAGGTAATTCGTCTGCTCGTTTGCCGATCTATGACATAAAAGAGTTAATAGAGAAATAGAGTGCAAAATATATCTTAATGAAATATATGCTATCAATAAAATAAAATAATAGTAAATACTTAAAAACAAATTGTATTTACAATCTCTACTTCACTAATCTATACATTTTGATTAAAGCCCATCAAACTATAACATAAACATCATTTGACTTTGATAGCAGCTCGGAGTCTAGCACTACGACTCCTAGGGTTCCTCTCCACTTCTTCATCACTTGGTACTTCTACATGCTTATTAACAGCTTTCCACGGAGAGTTCAGAAACTCATTAATTGTATCCTGATTCTGAACTAAACTTGGATTTAAATATTTCAAAGGAACTGGATTTGCCATTTCATTTATTATGTTTCCTGCTATATGTCGCTTAACTATGGTATCTTCCAATGAGTGAAAGCATATTGTGACCAACTTCCCATTGATTTTCAAATAATATTTAGCTAACAACATTCCATAATTCAGTTCATTGAGTTCATTGTTCACAAATATACGTAGAGCTTGGAACACTTTTGTAGCATTCGACTGTGGCCTCTGTAGTTTGTCCAGCCTTTTTTCATCTGGGCAACAGGAGTTTACAAGTTCAACTAATTCTTCTGTAGTCTCAATATTTTTAATCATGTACCTAGCTTGTATTATTGTCTGAGCTATTTTTGCTGCTTGTTTTTCTTCACCATATATTTTAAATATTTTGTACAGCTCATGTTCATTTGCAGTTGCTAGCACTTCTCTTGCAGTTATTTGATTTGGGTCTCTGCCAGCATCCATTCTCATATCTAGGTAACCATTTTTACTGATGGAAAAGCCTCTCTCCCCTACATCCAATTGCATTGATGAACATCCAAAATCAAAGAGTATGCCATCTATTGAACACTGCTTAATGTCTCTGGCTTTCAAAAGAGCTGGGAGTTCACTAAATCTTCCTAGTAATGGTATTACTCTATTTGGATATTCTTCAGCTAGTTTTTGAGCTTTCTCATATGCTACAGGGTCTCTATCTAGAGTAATAAGTCTACAATCAGCAGCTTCAAGTATTTTTCTTGAATGTCCACCAGCTCCAAATGTCATATCAATAATTAGGTCATTGTCTTGTGGATTCAGGTGTTTTATGGACTCATTCAACATTACTGGTGTATGGTCTCTATATTGTACTTGTTCTGTGGACAGTTTGCGGGCGAGAACTGCCCTATTGAGGCGCTGAAAGTGTCTTAGAATCATTATTTATCTCTACCAAATATTTTGGCAAAGAATCCTTTATTTTCTTCCTTTAAATATTCGAGAACTTCGTTTGACAGGATCACGTTACACTCTTCAGTGCTTAGACCTGTAGCAGTGCTGTTGTGCGTTCGTTTGTACTTATTTCTGTAATGGTTGTCGGCTATTTTGTTCAGAGAGTTGTACTGGCGGTTGCAGAGCTCAGAATCTAAGTTCTGTCTTTCTGATGACTCAAAAGCAGCTTTCACTTTGTCTCTGATGAATTTGCCGAGGTCTCTGTAAAGCATTTTATCGGTAACTACGTAAAACTGAACGAGGATAAATAACTATTACAAAATAACCTCACTTATTCTTACCTTTCGCCTTTGGTAGTGTCAACGGGCCACTTAGCTATTAGTCTAGTAAATTTCTTATATTGAGTAGTCATCGCAACTAACTTAGCATATTTTATCTCAGGACAATGTTGATTTTTATTTATTTGATTCGGAAAGCTATTTTTTAAATACCTTTAAAGAAGGAACTTTAAAGAAACCACTGACATTTTAGTTGACAATAGATGTCATTTGTCAATTGATATGTCAGTGTCATACAAAAAATTACGTTCGAAATAATGTGTTTTATTTCCATCTTAATTTTTATTTTATATTGTAATTAAAAAATTGGATATCAACGCAATATACCTATACGTTTCTTAAAAAATATTTAACGAATTTGTATTTTTGTTGATTTTAAATAAGTAAACGTTTAACTACCAAATTGTTTTCCTATTGAGCTATTAGGTTAAAGGCAAAGGCAACTAACAATAATGCTTATTTTTTTGCTTTCATAGATTTGGATTGCAAGTGCTTATTATTGTGGAATATAACTATTTTTGGAGTCAAGATAATATTGTATACGTGATGTCCTCAGGTAAGGATGTACCTAATCTTGTTTTGAAGGCTATGACAAAACCAGATTACGTATAATGCACAGGTGTGAAAGCAACCAATAATCGTTAGAGAAACAGTCACAATTTCTAGTTTATTTTAAGATATTCTGTTAGAATCTAAAGTGTCACGTAGTATTATTGCTAGTGGATGTCGGCAGTTGTTACATAATAATAATTGGATAACCATCTGCGGTTCCTTATGGGTCTACTCGAAAGGCATGGAATTGCTGGGGTGGGGGCATAATGCTGCATTCTAGGTGTGATCTAAATATTTATGAAACGCCCATACGTTGGTAGGTATGTAGGTACCTATTTGTATTTTTTTTTACACAGCTTGGCCAGGTGTCTGATATACAAGATTTGAGTAGGAGTATTATAATAATAGGGTGTACCCAGTATGAAGTTATTGTAAATTGGACAGCCGATTCCTTGGCTAACTGCTAGTCCATTTTCATCGGATAAAACATCAAACGTGCAACTGGATCAGCTAATGGTGATATGGCACCGCTAATGGACACCTACGACACCAGAGGAGTTGCTATTCCTGGCGTTTTGAAGGCTAAGGATTTGAGGATTAGGGGAATCCGGACGCCATCCGGTCACGGCAAAACACATCACCAGTGTGTTACTAAGTCAGTTTATTGCGAGGCCTTGGTATCACTTCTTGAGGTACCCTTTTTGTGTAGAAGCTTTGCTGTCACTCATAAATTCGAAATAGGATATTGAAGTACTTATTTTCTTTCGTTATGCACCTGAAAAATTGATACTTTTAAATAAGTACCTATGATTATGTCAAAATGACACGAATCAAAACCGTTTTACATTTAGGTACACTATACCTATTGTTGTGGCAATTCATAGATACAATTTATTTAATAAACATTTACATAAGTATGTCGTCAATAAATTTAGTATCTCACGATGCTATTATTCGAGAACCATATAATCTTACACAAACATTGATAAACCGCTCATCTTTACACTGAAACCAAATTGTCTAAACGCCGTACTACGCATATGATTATGGGTAACAAAAACTGTTTGTATTTTTGTACGTAATGAGTTTCCGCCATGAAGACACTATGATGTAACACAGTATAGTTTCTTGACTAAAGTTAAAACCTAATGCTCCCATTTTACAGATTATCGTATACGAAAAACAAAAGAAAAAGTTAACACATTCTCAATTTACGTCTTCCTCATACTTCATAGAAAACAATAAAGTTTAAAACTTTTACGAAAATATAATAGGAATTAGAATTAATAGGTCATAACTCACGAGGGCTTTAAATAGCGGTTGATTTGGTTTATTTTTGAATTTCGAAATGGAACACTTTGGTATGGGTTACGTATTCGGCCATTCGTCCAGAAATAGAAGATTCTACTTAAGTAAAAAAAACAAAGTTCTTTTAGGGTTTTTGTAAATTAAATTTTTTTATTGTTATTTTGATACATAGGTTATGGTGTGTAGCACGTTTGTGTTGTTTTTGTTACTTACTGAAAGCAATATCATATCAATAAATGGTTTGCTGAGCTACGTTTTCTTGTTTGGAGGGTAAACCATGAAATGACTTCTTTCGCCCTTAAGGTATGGCGGGAGGGAGTGTCAGACTCTTACTGACTACAATCACTCCCGTTCCTTCTGCTGCTCTATGCTGAGTCCGCGGTGCCTCTGTTTTGTCTTAGACTTTTTTATGCCGGCAAACGACCTGATGGTTTACCTGATGGTAAGCAATCAGCACCGCCCATGGACACCCACAACAGAGGATTTACTAGTGCGTTGCCGACCGTTTGGGGATTAGGGATTTTGAGATTTGTGGATTGGGGAGGGGAAGGATTGTGGCCTCGGTAACCTCACTCACACAGCTAAACACAACGCTATGGTTGCTTCACGCCTCTCTGTGGACGGCGAACAAGGGTAGCGCGCCACCCGACTAGACCCAGACCTGAGTATACTTAAGGCGTGTTGCGTACCATACGCGCCACAAGGTGATATTAGATCACCTAAGAGAAGGCCCAATAAGGCTGATGTTCAGCCAGGGTAATAATGTACCGCGGCTTCGTCCCGGAGTAGAAGGAACGGGGTGATTTTTGGTAACAGTCTCACGAGCCTTTCCAGCCCCTCTCGCTCCATGCAGGATGCGAGAAGTCTTTTTGATAATTAACACCCCTCAAAAATAAGAATAAAAAATCGCATGTCCTAAATAAAACATCATAACAGCGAGGCTCATTGAAGTAAATGTCCACAATTTTCTCATAGTAAGTACCTACCTATTCACCTAAGTACAGTCACCAACATAAGCGCTTGGTCAATTTCAAAATAGTTTTAATCGCACGCATAAATATACTTACACCACTTCAAGTGATCAATGAAAGATCTCTGTCATTTTATAAGATTTTTTTTACTGTTTTTTAAGGCGAACATTTTAAAAAACATCTAGTATTTTACACTAAAGATATTTTTTTTTATGTAATAGATCGACAAACGAGCGTACGGGTTACCTGATGGTAAGCAATCAGCGCCGCCCGTAGACACTAGTTATACCAAAGGAGTTACTACAAAAGCGTTGCCGGCTTCTTGTGAGTTTTAGAGATTTAAGGATAGGGGATTTGAGGATTGATGATGGGGAAAGGATTTGGCCTCCACTCCACTCACACGTCAAAACACAACGTAAGTGTCGCTTCATACTGGATTTCGGTGAGGTCGTGGTGTCACTCCGGTCGAGCTGGTCCGATCGTGCCGAAGCAGAGGTCTCCCACAAAAAAGATCTTCTATGTAGTTATATTCATTCAATTCCTTTCCTAGTGTACAATTTTAAAAGAATACGGTAGTTTCCAACTAGTCAAATTCAATACTTTTATCCAAATGCCAAAAACGATACTTTTCTATGAAAATTGTATGAAACATTGAACTATGACGTCATAGCATTTTTGCGTCAAATAGCTAACTTATTTTTATAAAATTAGCTATAAAATATCTAAAACTTAGTGTATCGATCGATCGATGAATAAAAGTATAGTTATTTTTCAATATTTTATCGTATTAAAACGTCGAATTAATTTATTTTTGACCTAGGAAACTACCCAATTTGTTTTATTGGTTGACAAAACAGGTTAGCATCCTGTCTAGTTGACTGTACATACTTACATGACTCCTATACTAAATTTCTCGAACTTGAGCCAACGTATTAAGGCAACGTTCCCAGTAACATGGTATTTGTCACATTTCCTGAAGTACAAGTAATACCTCACACAACTGTTTACTTCTAAAATGTTGTTGGTACTTAGGGAAAAGTACGATGTACGATAATGTATAAAGAAACTTAGTATTTCAACTTGTTAAGTCGTAAACTTACGAAGTGTTTTGTTTCTGAAGTGTGAATTGAGTTGATTGTCTTTAAGAGGTTTTATTTGTAAAATATTGATAGTGTTTTTTAAGCTCTACTTTTAACGTGAAATATTATAGAATCTGGTCGTCTATACTGCGTCTGCATCTACATTACGCGCCTTTATGAACCCAATAGATGTTCAGCGGGGTTTGCAGTTCAAGCATAAGATAAGGCCCCGGCTCGTAGCAGGACAAGCAAGGTCTTTAGTCAGTAAGAGTCAGATATTCCCTCTCATCTCGACCTGGGCAGCCGGGGTTGCGGGTTTAGCGTAATAGGTCACCGCGGCTTTGGCCCAGAGCAGGAGAAGGAACGGGGGGTTTTTAGTCAGTAAGAGTCTGACACGCTCTCTCGCCTCACCCTGGTCGTGGAAAGGCAATTTGATGATTTTAACCCTGACAAAAAAAATCTCAACCTGGACAGGAATAGTCTTAATAATCCCCCCCCCCCCCCCATTCCCTTATGTACCGTGATTGCGGACATGTCAACGTGTGACTTTAAAATATTAAATGTATTGAATTATTTTATTTTGACATTTTAAAAGTGCGTGGGCGATATTTTCACTGTTTTAAATATATATTTGAAAGGAGAAAGTGTTCGTGTTTGAAATACTTATGCGTATTAAGATATCAAGATATATGTTTTGGCAAATAATTGGTTTTTAGAAGTACTTAGTATAGAAATTATGAGATACGCTGAATATATTGTTAGTACCTTGATACTTTCTTGTAACTTAATTGTGAAAATCGGGCTCGTCTACTAAACTGACCTTTATGTAATGTTTAAGTTATGTTAAGACCAATATACAAAACACATACAAATGGTTTTTAGATAATATCTACACTTCTAATTCGAATAATCAACTAAACGACAATATCATACGAAAAAAACAGACATGTTCAGTTGTTTGCAGCGAGACATTGATAAACATAACTAATACTTCATTTGGAACTCCGTATTGTTTTTTTTCTTCATCAGTATAAACAAAACTCAAAATACAAACTTGATTCAATTAAAAAACAAACGTGAATCCTTCAATATACGGTTTAATTTTACTTATGCTCGCGTAAGTTCATCTTGACTGAACTCAATATCTTATTGCACATGTGAATACGAGGCTTCGTCTAAAAATCAACATTTTTTCACGACGACTTGCTCTCTTCTACCGAAGAAAAATTACTACAAGACTGTATTTATTTGATCCAAATCCAT